TTTCGGCGCTCACAGCTAGCATTCAACAATTCTAGCACTGCCCAACTACGTACTCATTTACAGCTGAGTAGACTGGAACAAGCGGAGTAAAGTATCTTGCTCAAGGATACAACACAGTGCCGTGCCGTGACGCGAACCCGCAACCATTCGGTCACGAGCCCGGCGTCCTACCACTAGACTACGGTGCCTCCCAAATAAAGGAAGCCATCTGGATACGTCGCAGTGGACCAGTTCTGAATCGAGATGAGGGGGCTCATAGACTCTCGCACATCTATCACCAGGCATTAAACAAAGAGTAGCCGAATACATTTGTCTGTTTGATTGTCATTTCGTACATGTACAACAACTAAGTGTACATATGCTTATAGCGAAGCCAACTCGTACATTAAAACGTATTCCATACAGTTTCTGCAAAACATTACTTAGCATATAATTATCCCGTATTAAGGTTCATTTTGCTGACAGAATTTGAGAGAGTTTGAATACGGTAACATACGCGTGTATTTTACTGTATTCGAACACAGACATTGTATGTTATATAAGTATTTGTATATATATATTCTTACATATATAAAAAAAAAAAATGTATATACATACGTTGTATGTTGGTTTATCATGTATTGTATATGGTGACTGACATTGTATTTGATTAATCGTATAACTTACTGCATAGAAAACAGCAATATCATCCAATATCCTTTTAATTATAAGTTGTAACGACTATATATGGGTGACATGACTGACGCATCCCAGTTTCTGAATTAACATTGTGGGAAATTTGGGCGTAACAATCGCGAAATAGTAATATTGACACAAATGCCACTAGAACAGAACTATATTTGTACGTCAGGCACGGAAAGGTTTTCCCATGGGTAATACATATCTCGGATCTCCAGGTGTTTTCCCATTGTTAATAATTACACTCCTCCCGTCAACATAGCCACATGGAGACATTGAAGTTCACCGACAAAAACATCACCGCTTATGTCATCGGAGAAATTTCTAAGTTCTCATGTGCATTTAATGAAATGAAGAGCTTAGTTACTCTATAAAGCCTATCTTCCAGAAAATTACCTGACAAAACACATTTCTGTTTACACTGAAAACATTTCATTATTTGTATCGGTTAGATTAAAGGGCCGATCGACCGGGCTAGGTGTGTGACGAGAAAAAGGGATATTTAAACTCTGAAAACCAGTATAGGAGGAGTTAGCGGCTTACAATAGCTGAGATTGCTTGTTTGTAATTAATTTAGCTTACTGTGGTAGGGAAAGGTAACACGATTTAGCCGATATATAGATTTACCCGAGAGCGTTTATTTAGGCCTAAATAGGACGATAATGTGGTGAATTAGGAGATATATCTACCTGGGTTAGGAACACAAGACGGGAGTTTACGCTATTAACATGTTTATATACTATTTAGAGCATTTTCTCTTTCATCTACCTACATTTTCTAACACGCCAGTGTCAATACGCAGGGCTAGTATTAACAGACCACCGGTAAGTGACACCATTTGGAATTATAGTGTGTACTCTCTGACCCTAAACCCTCGGATTGATAGATAAGTAATCGAGTACCAAACACACTCAATGTTAGATAAACAAGTATAATGAAAGCGACCACTCACGGATGACTCAATTCACGTCACAAGCTTACACTCAGTTAGTTTAGATATATGTGATTGAGTATGAAAAGGCTCAATATGGTAACCTGCAAAAATTCATATTCTTTAAAAAAAACACTTTCAATGTTCCCCATAAATTGCCGAGCAAAACGAACATGACGGGAGCCCGTCCTTCGAACCCAGGACCCGCCAAAACTTTTAATCTAACCTAGCTGGTCAACGATGAAATCGCTGCAGTTCAACATCGATATATAACACTCCCAAAAAGCAAACAAACAAACAAACAAACGAAAAACAACAACAACAATAAAAAAAGAAATGAACCAATAAAACACCCACAAAAAAGCACTCATCCTCTAACTAAATATGTATTAGCCGAGTTCGACAGTTGTGCCTTTTCTGTGGCTACAAATATCATGTTAATTCTGGGTAACATGTAATGAGAAGAACTTGATAGTGAGAGGCAAGTACTGTACGTAATCATGCTGAAGTTCACCTATTTTTAATTCCCTTGATTTACCAAATGTGCCAGACAGGTAAGGGAGAAAATCCATTTTTAATTTTGAACGGCGTCGTGAAGCTACAGGCAAGTGACGTCATCACGATAAATGAATCGTCACCTCACGCTTCCTAATGGCGGGAATGATACCTATTTTCACCTTTCCTTATCACATTAAGTCCGATTTTACACGTCTTTATTGCATACTTTCACTTAATAAGAAACGTCCTATCAGGTGAGTGAAGCGCCATTGTCAGGTATCTCTATAGCCTACAGTACTAGTGGTGACCTAACGAACAAGCCTAATCGAATTCGAGCGCATAATACAGGTAGCATGTAATACTGAACACAGGTAAGATATTTACAGGTGTAAAATATACAGGTGTAACACACAGGTGTCAGTTAACGCTCTGTCCGTCCGAATATAGAATAATTAAATTCCAATGACTATCTCAATTCAGTTCAGGTTCAGCTCAGACATGAATGAGATAGCTGCTTGATTTATCCCCTAACCATCAACATAGTCAATCGTCACCCTCGTACAACTCACAGAACATTGGTTATTGGAGTTTCTTAAAACTGACGCTGACAGACATGATTAGCACGTGAACGTTCACACAATTCACCGATCCGAAACAAAATAAAAAATGGAAAAAAATATAGATGAGAGAGTCGTCTTTAGGAACGTTGAATTGACACCCTTACCATCCATGTGACCACCACCTAAAGACTAGACTCTTCCAACGGCTGTGGACCCGTATGACAATGACAAAGATCTGTTTCTCGCAAACTTGTCACCGTGTAGAGAATTTTACAAATTGACATCAAAATATTCTCTATGAAGTCGTACTAATTAAAAGTGTCATTTCATTCTCCTGTGAATCTGACGAATTTTGCAAGTGATATTACATGTAATTTATAATTAGTTACATATTTAACAAAGTATTTGAAATCGAAAGCACTGGGCCTTTACATATAATATTCCTTCTGTTTGACGGTCATTTAACAAATAGCAATATGCATCTCAAATTTCATTAAGTTAACAAATATTACAGAAAGTCCAATTGATGAAAGTGAAGTTTAACGTTACATAATTTTCTGGGAGGAAGCTTCGGGATTTCAAGGGAAGGAGGACTTGATGGCAACCTTAATATGGATCTAGAACTGAGCAGCTGACCAGGGATACCCCCCCCCCCCCCCCCCCCCCACACACACACACACACAGGGACCCCCCCTCCATTAGACTTAGACGTTCAGATACTTTCAGACGTACGTGTACTCCACCACACCTCAAACTTTCAAACCCTATGTACGACAAAGTCTACTATAAAATCTTTGTTACTCAAGTTCATGTCCAGGCCAAACTTATCAAAATTCTTAACGTAAGAATTTCTTTGATTTCACGTCTACTTTGGCCGCTGGACATCCTCGATATACAGGGGGCACGCTGTGTAGAGAGCGAAAGTGAGCGTAAACCCTGGACAAACCATCTATAAGACAGGACAAGTTATTCCCCCTGTCGTAGCAATATATTAATGGCCGTTTTACTGTGCTTAAAGTCAGTAGCCGTGTATTCTTTACAAGTAATCAAAAATAAACTACATCAAATAAATAATTCAAAATTTAAACATAATAAAAATACACCCTTCCAAAAGGCAAAGAAAACTCGTGAAAACCTGTCAACGAGACGGATTTATACAAGTCAAATTTATTTACTCGTTTCCTAATAATTTTTGTTATCAATATGAATGATGGTGTTGATCGTTGTAAGAAAACTGAAATAAAAATTGTTTGAATTAAATTAATTTATGAAGATATTATCTTGAAATAGCCAACAATGCTTAGTCATCGGCGTATTTAACATAGCAGACAACTCACTTTCATACACACATCCGGCTTCTTATCTGCAAGAGCAGTGCATCTAATTTAAAATCTGTTTTCACAGAAAGTCAGATGGTAGAGTTTAATTCCGGTTCTCCCCGTATCCACATACGTTTATTTAAACTGGAATACATCAGACCCCAGCTCGTCGTCAGCATGTCCACTATTAGGATACACAGTGATTCGATATGATGTTATCAGTATCTTAGTTCTTAATGGGAGACGTTTTCACCACTTAAGGATCCTAGTCCCACTGCAGACAATATACAAACGACTTTTATCGTTTTTCCTTAGCGTAACTTATCTCCCATTATATTTATTGGGTAACATATAGCTGTACTTACGTAAGTCTGGATGCCATAGCGACGGTCTCTACTGCCCTCTCTCTTTTTCTTTGTTATTTTCATTTATGATTTGTGTAAAATGTGTTGATGTTGCCATGTACATAGAATAAAATATTTCTGTGAGAAGGCTTCATAAGTTGGAATATACATTTAACTTGTGCCTAATCCCTTTGCAAATTTTGCAATAAAATATGTTTAAATCGAAATCAGAGACTGCAGCAATTGAAAATAGGAGTAACCTCCCGTTGCACACGTGTTGTTTTTAGGCTAAATCATAAAATGCGTATAATGTATAAGAGTAACCTGTTGATATGTTTTAAACGATGTTATAGGTACACAGCCATTTCAGACTTATAACCACATATACTAAAACTCTGTCGTTTATGTTTTTTTAAATGTACGCTTTGGTAATATGTGATATGCTTCAAATAAAACTTCATCAAACGTTCTGTTAACTTTTGTTAAAAAAAAATAATTCACGAGCATAGTATTTCCAAATAGGTGAGTTAAAAAGTCGCGGAAGGTTCAGTTTTCTTTTTAGATTTATTAAATCCATACTCATATCAGAAGTAAAATGGTGTCAGTACATAGTTAGAGTTCTGAGATGGTACGGGGATCCTTAAGATGTTTAAAACTGTAGGGTTGTCGGGTGAGTTACTGATATCGATTTCAACAAAAAACTAATTGAAACGTAACTGGTGATGTGTGAATTAATTTTAACACGCATGTCCATACAGGTAGTCGTGCTAAACATAAACAATCTACATCACCACGGAAGTTTAAATAAACACAAGTGTTACAAACAAGTACAAAGAAGATGGTGGACCTGGTGCCTGGTTTTCTCATCCTGGCCTTGTATACAGGTAATTTTGAGTTATGTCCCTCGTCTTTTGTATTCAATGCTACGTACAAAGGTATCACTTACCCTGTACATCAACTTGTATACGTATATTTCTTGTCATCTACACATTTACAGGTAAACAATGAACCTCACTCTTTACACAGGTATCAACCTTATATTTCTGTGTAAAAAAGGTAGCGATCAACAGGTACATGTATTCGTCCTCATGTACACAGGAAGTTTAAACAGCGTACAGATATAATCCTTACGTTATATACAGATAATCTTAATCTGGTATATAGCATATTCTCATCTTGTATAAAGGTAATATCCCAACCTTGTATACAGATAATATCCTAACCTTGTTTTGTTTTGTTTTGTTTATTCAACTTGAAGCCTTACGGCTCATAAGCATATAAAACAACGTATAATTGATACATCAGTGATATGAAATACCAAATAATTATAACATCATGAATGAAGCATAATCTTGTACATCGCATGTATAAATCGACAGTATAATTCTTTAAATTATTATAAAGTACAAGCTAAATAAATTATCGGAAGATGGACAGCTCTTATAAAATTACCTCACCTAAGTGTACTGTGGCTATCGGAAAACAGATGAGGTGACAACATTTTCTTAATAACCGGGGCTCAACAAAGAGTATGTTAATTATAAAAAACAAAAAACAGGCATACAATTTGGATACAGTGATGTAGTGATCAGGGGATGGACAAAACAATATGTGTTAACCTGGAAATAAACAAGTACTCAAATGTTAGTGTGATAAAAAACACAATAACCTAAGGTTGGAATCTAGACCGTTCTAACCAACTTGATTGCAGATATTTTCCTAAATTAGACAGCTCTTTTCTGTTATGTACAGCCAGCAGCTGAACAAGATTATATGAAGATGGGCGGCTCCAGTAATACTTTTTAATGAACTATTTACGAATATCGACATAGAGTGGACAAATCAGAACAAAATGGAACTCGTCCTCTACCTGGTTTTGATTACAATAACGTCATAACCTATTCGCCCTCGGAATATTACGATACCGACCTTCTTCTACATATAACTGATGCGATGAAAGTCGTAATTTCGAAATAAGTTTAAGATACGCATCTGGAATAGACGTTGTTAGATAAAATTGTAACGTAAAGTTATCTATCAGGAATTTATACAAATAACATTTGGATGATCTTTCAGCAAATTCATTCCTTGTTTGAATAAAAACATCTGTCAAACGCTGCTTGAAACAATGTTAAAATACCCTTTCATTATCAACATAATGAGTTAACCAGACATTACCAAAACTAGAAGACAATAATAATTTTCTAACTTGACAGCGCCAATTACAGTTTCTGTGATTACATTCATCCATATCTTCATAAACTGACTTAAGAACACAATTGTCGCATTTAATTCGTTTCAAACAATATTTGATCATTCGACACTTCCTGATGATATGCAAAGGCAGACGTCCTAATTCCGAATATACCATACAAGATGGCGTACTGTTTTTTACATTCAGAATTCTTTTTAAAAATCAACATGCACTTTTTCTACTTTGTCCGCAATATTGAAACCCCATGTTTCGCAACCGTAATTAAGAGTGGAGGAAACATAGACATCAAAAATATTAAGTTTAGATTGTAAACATGTAATATTCTTACCTTGTATATAGGTAATATCCTAACTTTGTATACAGGTAATATCCTAACCTTGTAAACATGTAATATTATTACCTTGTATACAGGTAAAATCCTAAATTTGTATACAGGTAATATCCTAACCTTGTAAACATGTAATATTCTTACCTTGTATACAGGTAATATCCTAACCTTGTAAACATGTAATATTCTTACCTTGTATACAGGTAATATCCTAACTTATTATACAGGTAATATCCTCACCTTGTATACAGGTAATATCCTAACCTTGTATACAGGTAATGTCCTCATGTTATATACAGGTAATATCCTCACCTTATATACAGGTAATATCCTAACATATACTGGTAATATCCTAATCTTGTATATAGGTAATATCCTTACCTTCTATACAGGCAATATCCTCACCTTGTATACAGGTAATATCCTAACCTTTTATACAGGTATTTTTTTTACCTTGTATACAGGTTATATCCTAACCCAGTATACTGGTAATATCCTAACCTTGTACATGTATACAGGTAATATTCCACGTTGTATATAGGTAATATCCTAACCTTGTATACAGTAATATCATAATGTTATAAACAGTTAACATCCTGATCTTGTATACAGGTAATATCCTGATCTTGTATACAGGTAATATCCTAACCTAGAATACAGGGAATATCCTAACATTGTATACAGGTCATATCCTCACCTTGTATACAAGTAATATCCTGACCTTGTCTACAGGTAATATTCTGACCTTGTATACAGGTTATATCCCGACCTTGTATACACGTAATATCCTGACCTTGTATACAAGTAATATCCTGACCTTGTCTACAGGTAATATTCTGACCTTGTATACAAGTAATATCTTGACCTTGTCTACAGGTAATATTCTGACCTTGTATACAGGTAATATCCTGACCTTGTATACAGGTAATATCCTGACCTTATATACAGGTAATATTCTGACCTTGTCTACAGGTAATATTCTGACCTTGTATACAGGTAATATCCTGACCTTGTATACAGGTAATATCCTGACCTTGTATACAGGTAATATCCTGACCTTGTCTACAGGTAATATTCTGACCTTGTATACAGGTAATATCCTGACCTTGTATACAGGTAATATCCTGACCTTGTATACAGGTAATATCCTGACCTTGTCTACAGGTAATATTCTGACCTTGTATACAGGTAATATCCTGACCTTGTATACAAGTAATATCCTGACCTTGTCTACAAGTAATATTCTGACCTTGTATACAGGTAATATCCTGACCTTGTATACAGGTAATATCCTGACCTTGTATACAGGTAATATCCTGACCTTGTATACAAGTAATATCCTGACCTTGTCTACAAGTTATATTCTGACCTTGTATACAGGTAATATCCTGACCTTGTATACAAGTAATATCCTGACCTTGTCTACAAGTAATATTCTGACCTTGTATACAGGTAATATCCTAACCTTGTATAGAGGTTTTGTCCTGATTATGTGTTTTGTGGCCTGCTAATGTGTTGTGTGACCTGATAAGTGTGTTGTGTGACCTGATACGTGTGTTTTGTGACCTGATACGTGAGTTGTGTTTCCTGATATGTGTGTTGTGTGACCTTATACGTTTGGTTTGGTTTGGTTTAATTTTGTTTAACGTCCTATTAACAGCTAAGTTCATTAAAGGACGTGTCTCTATGTGTAGTGTATGCGTGCTTGCGTATGTGTAAGCAGGATACAGGGTATATTGGTGTGCTTGCCTCCTTGTGATAGCGCAGATCTGATGCCGACTTTATGGTGTTATCTCACTAAAATACCATGCCAAAGGCACTCAGCACAACATTCCGCCCGGTCACATTATACTGACAACGGGTGAACCAGTTGTTGCCATTCCACTAAATACTGAACGTTAAGCAGGAAAGAGTTATATAACCCGATACATGTGTTGTTTGACCTGATACATGTGTTTGGTGACCTGATACGTGTGTTGTGTGACCTGATACGTGTGTTTGGTGACCTGATACATGTTTTGTGTGACATGATACGTGTGTTGTGTTCTGATAGTATATTAAATGACCTGATACATGTGGTATGTGACCTGATACATGTGTTGTTTGACCTGATACATGTGTTGTGTGACCTGATACATGTGTTGTGTGACCTGATACGTGTGTTGTATGACCAGATACATGTGTTGTGTGACCTGATACATGTGTTGTGTGACCTGATACATGTGGTATGAGACCTGATACATGTGTTGTGTGACCTGATACATGTGTTTTGTGACCTGATACATGTGTTGTTTGACCTGATACATGTGTTGTTTGACCTGATACATGTGTTGTGTGACCTGATACGTGTGTTTGGTGACCTGATACATGTGTTTGGTGACCTGATGCATGTTTTGTGTGACATGATACATGTGTTGTGTTCTGATAATATATTAAATGACCTGATACATGTGGTTTGTGACCTGATACATGTGTTGTTTGACCTGATACATGTGTTTGGTGACCTGATACATGTGTTGGGTTACATGATACGTGTGTTGTGTTCTGATAATATTTTAAATGACCTGATACATGTGGTATGTGACCTGATACGTGTGTTGTTTGACCTGATACATGTGTTTGGTGACCTGATACGTGTGTAACGTGACCTGATACATGTGCTGTGTGACCTGATACGTGTGTTGTATGACCAGAGACATGTGTTGTGTGACCTGATACATGTTTTGTGTTACCTGATGCGTGTGTTGTGTTCTGATAATATTTTAAATGACCTGATACATGTGGTATGTGACCTGATACATGTGTTGTTTGACCTGATACATGTGTTGTGTTTTGATAATGTGTTGTTTGACCTGATACATGTTTTGTGTGACCTGATGCGTGTGTTGTGTTCTGATAATATATTAAATGACCTGATACATGTGTTGTGTGACCTGATACGTGTGTTGTATGACCAGATACATGTGTTGTGTTTTGATAATGTGTTGTGTGACCTGATACATGTTTTGTGTGACCTGATGCGTGTGTTGTATGATCTGATGCATGTGTTGTGTAACCAGATACATGTGTTGTGTGACCTGATAAGCGTGTTGTTTGACATGATACGTGTATTGTGTGACCTGATGCGTGTGTTGTGTTCTGATAATGTGTTGTGTAACCTGATGCGTGTGTTGTGTTCTGATAATGTGTTGTGTGACCTGATACGTGTTGTATGACCTCATACATGTGTCTTTTGACCTGATACGAGTTGTATGACCTGATACATGTGTTTTGTGACCTGCTACGTGTGTTTTTGACCTGCTACGTGTTTTGTGTTCTGATAATGTGTTGAGTGACCGGAAACGTATGTTGTGTGACCTGATACTTGTGTTGTGTTTTCATTATGTGTCATGTGATCTAATACGTGTGTTGTGTGACCGGATATGCGTGTTATGTGACCTGATATGCGTGTTGTGTGCCCTGATATGGGTTTGTGTGACCTGATATGGGTGTTGTGTGACCTGATATGGGTGTTGTGTGACCTGCTATGGATGTTGTGTGACCTGCTATGGGTGTTGTGTGACCTGATATGGGTGTTGTGTGACCTGATATGGGTGTTGTGTGACCTGATACCTATGTTGTGTGACCGGATACGTGTGTTCTACTTGTGCTACATGTATGTGTAGATGTTATGCTAGCTAATGGTTTTTGTTCCACGGTTTTGTAGGTTGTCTTTTGATTCCCATCAATTGGTTTATGTCTTTCGGTAGGCGAACATGGTTGCATTCTACTCAAAGGCTACGACTATTTGCAGGTGGTGTTAGTATTAAGTATTGAGTATAACAAAACTGTCTGGTTAGTAAAACAGTTCACATTTCAAATCTAGCTGTGACTTCATATCAACACTGAGTGATCCACAGAAAATGTAAATCGACATTAAAATTCAAACAGGATAACAAGGACGTGCCTTATTATGGACGCGGTGAACGTACGCAATATAATTTACATGGATTTAAAACCTACCAGGATGTTGACTGAAAATGTACATGTATCGATTTTATCGATTTCCAGGTAGTACGTGGAATTTAAATGTACGAGATGCATGCGTCATTGAGTTTTATTATTTACAACAAGACGAAACGCCATGCATTGCTGCAGACTTTCCTCCAATACCCATTGTGTAAATTATGGGGAATAAAAGTAATCGAACCGAACACGAACATTGTTATGTAGTATAGATACATTGTTACGAGAAAGATTAGGTTACTTATCTGTATGAGAAATCAAAAGGCTAATGTGATTCGTTCTAGTGGTTAGATTATGAGCCTTTAATAACAATAGATTTCCCGATATGTAGTCATGGTAAACGTAAACAAAGTCTACGATCACAAAAGCTTACACAAATAAATATAAGCGTCACAACGTTTAAGTAGATGATGGATCATGTTTCTTTTCGTACCTTTGTATTGTTACTGGTGAGTTTGGTTCTCCTCAATGTATATACCCAGTACTAACTCTACCACCGAGTACAAAGGTATTCTATACAAGTCAACATGTAGCACAACCAGCATGTTTATAGGTGTGACATCTCAATGTATATACCCAGTACTAACTCTACCACCGAGTACAAAGGTATTCTACCCAGGTTAACATGTAGCACAGCCAGCATGTTTATAGGTGTGACATCTCAATGTATATACCCAGTACTAACTTTACCACCGAGAACAAAGGTATTCTACCCAGGCTAACATGTAGCACAACCAGCATGTTTATATGTGTGACATCTCAATGTATATACCCAGTACTAACTTTACCACCAAGTACAAAGGTATTCTACACAAGTTAACATGTAGCACAACCAGCATGTTTATATGTGTGACATCTCGATATACAGCAAGATGTGTACCCTGTCACCTTCATCAGCCAATCAAATCATTTGTCTGATGTTCGAGTACATATCGCACTAGTCATTGAAACATCACACACACAATCTATATTTACGAACCCGAATAAAATAAAAAGGCATTTATTTCCCTCTACACATGTGCTAACCATCTATTTACCGACGTTATTCAGGTAAGGTGTATCGCTTACACACTGTGACGTCATCATATACTCGACTGGAGGTGTATCTCTTACACACTGTGACGTCATCATATACTCGACTAGAGGTGTATCGCTTACACACTGTGACGTCATCATATACTCGACTGGAGGTGTATCTCTTACACACTTTGACGTCATGATGTACTCGACTAGAGGTGTATCTCTTTCACACTTTGAAGTTATCATATACTCGACTAGAGGTGTAAGCGATACACCTCTAGTCGAGGAATATGATGACGTCACAGTGTGTATCGCTTACACACTGGGACGTCATCATATACTCTACTAGAGGTGTATCGCTTCCACACTTTGACGTCATCATATACTCGTCTAGAGGTGTATCGCTTACAGACTGTGACGTCATCATATACTCGTCTAGAGGTGTATCGCTTCCACACTTTGACGTCATAATATACTCGACTAGAGGGGTATCGCTTACACACTGGGACGTCATCATATACTCGTCTAGAGGTGTATCGCTTACAGACTGTGACGTCATCATATACTCGTCTAGAGGTGTATCGCTTTCACACTGTGACGTCATCATATTCTCGACTAGAGGTGTATTTCTTCCACACTTTGACGTCATAATATACTCGACTAGAGGGGTATCTCTTATATACTTTGACGTTAACATATACTCGACTAGAAGTGTATCTCCTCCCCACTTTGACGTTATCATGTATTCGACTAGAGGTGTATCTTTTACATACTTTTACGTTATCCTATACTCGACTAGAGGTGGATCTCTTTCACACTTTGAAGTTATCATATACTCGACTAGAGGTGTATCTCTTACACACTGTGACGTCATCATATACTCGACTAGAGGTGTATCGCTTACACACTGTGACGTCATCATATACTCGACTAGAGGTGTATCTCTTACATACTTTTACGTTATCCTATACTCGACTAGAGGTGTATCTCTTCCACACTTTGACGTTATCATTTACTCGACTAGAGGTGTATCTCTTCCACACTTTGACGTCATGATGTACTCGACTAGAGGTGTATCTCTTACACACTTTGACGTTATCATATACTCGACTAGTGGTGTATCTCTTACATACTTTGACGTTATCATGTATTCGACTAGAGTTGTATCTCTTACGTACTTTGACGTTATCATATTCTCGACTAGAGGTGTATCTCTTCCACACTTTGACGTAATCATGTATTCGACTAGAGGTGTATCTCTTACACACTTTGACGTTATCATATGCTCGACTAGAAGTGTATCTCTTCCACACTTTGACGTTATCATTTACTCGGCTAGAGGTGTATCTCTTCCACACTTTGACGTTATCATGTATTCGACTAGAGGTGTATCTCTTACACACTTTGACGTTATCATATACTCGACTAGAGGTGTCTCTCTTCCACACTTTGACGTTATCATGTATTCGACTAGAGGTGTATCTCTTACACACTGTGACGTTATCATATACTCGACTAGAGGTGTATCTCTTACATACTTTGACGTTATCATATACTCGACTAGAGGTGTATCTCTTCCACACTTTGAAGTTATCATATACTCGACTAGAAGTGTATCTCTTCCATACTTTGACGTTATCATGTATTCGACTAGAGGTGTATCTCTTACATACTGTGACGTTATCATATACTCGACTAGAAGTATATCGCTTACACACTGTGACGTCATCATATACTCGACTTGAGGTGTATCTCTTACACACTTTGACGTCATGATGTACTCGACTAGAGGTGTATCTCTTCCACACTTTGACGTTATCATATACTCGACTAGAAGTGTATCTTTTCCATACTTTGACGTTATCATATACTCGACTAGAGGTGTATCTCTTCCACACTTTGACGTTATCATGTATTCGACTAGATTTGTATCTGCTCGACTAACGACGGTTTCATCACTTGTCCTATATCTTATTCCGACATGACCCAGTATCCAAATTAAGACCAGGTGACAGAAGATCGATGCCCAGGTGTAAACGGATACTTCTTTTAACGCAACGATGGCTGCTACACGTAATGAATTTAATACCAATGTAATTTCGATTTTTTTTACTTTGCCATGTTACAGGTGGAGCGCTAGCTGGAGATGTGTGTTACTATGTCTATTCTTACTACGTCGGCTTCCACCGGAGTTACTACTACGGTTCCCTGTACTGTCCAGGGAGTTGCTGTGGGTACTACACCGACAGGTCCTTTTGTACCAGGTTTGTAATGTGTTTTGTTCCCTGTCCTGACCCAGGGGTCCTACCGTACCAGGTTTGTAATGTCTTTTGTTCCCTGTACTGTCCAGGGAGTTGCTGTGGGTACTACACCGACAGGTCCTGTTGTCCCAGGTTTGTAATGTGTTTTGTTCCCTGTACTGACCCAGGGGTCCTACTGTACCAGGTTTGTAATGTACTTTGTTCCCTGTACTGACCCAGGGTCCTACTGTACCAGGTTTGCAATGTGTTTTGTTCCCTGTACTGACCCAGGGTCCTACTGTACCAGGTTTGTAATGTGCTTTGTTCCCTGTACTGACCCAGGGGTCCTACCGTACAAGGTTTGTAATGTGTTTTGTCCCCTGTACTGTCCATGGAGTTGCTGTGGGTACTACACCGACAAGTCCTGTTGTTCTAGGTTTGTAATGTGTTTTGTTCCCTGTACTGACCCAGGCGTCCTACCGTACCAGGTTTGTAATGTGTTTTGTTCCCTTTCCCTGTACTGACCCAGGGGTCCTACCGTACCCGGTTTGTAATGTGTTTTGTTCCCTGTACTGACCCAGGCGTCCTACCGTACCAGGTTTGTAATGTGTTTTGTCCCCTGTACTGTCCATGGAGTTGCTGTGGGTACTACAACGACAAGTCCTGTTGTTCTAGGTTTGTAATGTGTTTTGTTCCCTGTACTGCCCCAGGGGTCCTACCGGACCAGGTTTGTAATGTGTTTTGTTCCCTGTACTGTCCAGGGAGGTGCTGTGGGTACTACACCGACAAGTCCTGTTGTTCTAGGTTTGTAATGTGTTTTGTTCCCTGTACTGTCCAGGGAGTTGCTGTGGGTACTACACCGACAGGTCCTGTTGTCCCAGGTTTGTAATGTGTTTTGTTCCCTGTACTGTCCAGGGAGTTGCTGTGGGTACTACACCGACAGGTCCTGTTGTTCTAGGTTTGTAATGTGTTTTGTTCCCTGTACTGTCCAGGGAGGTGCTGTGGGTACTACACCGACAAGTCCTGTTGTTCTAGTTTTGTAATGTGTTTTGTTCCCTGTACTGACCCACGGGTCCTACCGTACCAGGTTTGTAATGTGTTTTGTCCCCTGTACTGTCCAGGGAGTTGCTGTGGGTACTACACCGACAGGTCCTGTTGTTCTAGGTTTGTAATGTGTTTTGTTCCCTGTACTGTCCAGGGAGGTGCTGTGGGTACTACACCGACAAGTCCTGTTGTTCTAGTTTTGTAATGTGTTTTGTTCCCTGTACTGACCCAGGGTCCTACTGTACCAGATTTATAATGTGTTTTGTTCCCTGTACTGAAACCAGGGGTCCTACTGTACCAGGTTTGTAATGTGTTTTGTTCCCTGGACTGACCCAGGGGTCCTACTGTACCAGGTTTGGGATGTGCTTTGTTCCCTGTACTGACCCAGGGACCTACTGTACCAGGTTTGTAATGTGTTTTGTTCCCAGTACTGACCCAGGGGTCCTACCGTACCAGGTTTGTAATGAGTTTTGTTCCCTGTACTGACCCAGGGGTCCCACCGTACCAGGTTTGTAATGTGTTTTGTCCCCTGTACTGTCCATGGAGTTGCTGTGGGTACTACACCGACAAGTCCTGTTGTTCCATGTTTGTAATGTGTTTTATTCCCTGTACTGACCCAGGGGTCCTACTGTACCAGGTTTGTAATGTATATGGTTCCCTGTACTGTCCCGGGGGGAACTGTGGGTTTTACTCAAACAGGTCATTCTGTACCAGGTTTGTAATGTGTTTTGTTTCCTGTACTGTCCAGGGAGTGCTGTGAGTACTACATTGTACACCGACAGGTCATGCTTTACCAGGTTTGTCATGTGGTTTGTACCCTGTACTGTCCCGGGGGGTCCTACTGTACCAGGTTTGTAACGTGTTTTGTGTCGAGGATGTCGTTAGTAATGCTACTGTATTCCAAGAACAGTACGTATAGCGTTGTTAATAACTGATGTCAAAGAAACTAGTAGGGTAATCTATTATTTTGTCAAGGAAACTGTCGGCATCAATGATACTATTGTCATTTGGACGGTACCAGCTTAGGTACTGTATTACTGCTGTCTAGGGAACTTAACACCGTTAATAACTATTTACTGCTTTCCATCGTTTATACTTACTTTGTTGTGAGGGCAAACAGGATAGTATTACTATTGGACTTGTAACTCGTTGATGCGGCCATTTTTGTGGGAGTTATTCCCCTTTTTACTAAAGTCAGGCAAAATCTTGTCCAGGGCAGATCTTTAGACTATGTAACCATATTTGGTATGCGAATAATCTTTGGATGCCGGATTGCCAAGTATAAACATTAGGTCACTGTGACCTGGGCTGTTGAAAACGTTTGTTTGACTAGGGCATGTTTCACCTTGAGTAACCATATTTGGAGGGCAGAGTACAAGAGGTATGCTTCTCTGACCTATACCTGATATAGGTACAAGGTCCGATTAATAATGGAATCATTTCCAGTGGGGGACTATGGATTGCTTTGCAAGACTTCATTTAAAATACCCTCAAAAATCTATTCTCAACAGTTCTTGGGGCAGGCGGAAAGTTTACGACTTATAGTAGCCGTTGTCAAGAGAAATGTACCAAGACTAGTGCTATAGAAGCCATTTTCTCTCTACTATATTCCCTTTATTTACGATACGCGCAACACATTATTTTCAAATAAAGACAACTGTTTCAAATCACGAATGAATACTTTTAATTATCTATCTTTATATTATCTAGTACTGGTTCCATAGCCGGGGCAATCATCGGATGTATATTCTTTGTCGCTGGTATCGTTTTCCTCGTCTTCCTGTTAAAGAGATGTAACAGAACACAAACTGGTGTGGTCATTGCCAGTCAAAATCCCCGCAACACAGGCGTGTCCGTAGGTGAGTGGTTTTAACACGTGTGACGTCATCCGATAGTGGACGAATGGTGTTAACACGTGTGTATTTTGATTGTTTGAGATTTAAAGTCATTTGAAGACGAGTGTCCCAGGGAGAACCAGTTGTTGCTATAACCTAAACGTTAAAGGAATGACACCTTTCAATTTCATAAATTGCGGTATATCCCGGCATGGGGACGGAACCCATTGTCTGCCTTACCTGGGCGAACGCTCAAAATCAAAGCCATAATTAAAGTCAAAGGAAGGCGATAGGAAACGAAATGTTGTAACAAGTAGAGAGAATACAAAGATCCGAAATATTGCAATTGGTGCAGCAAATCCATGTTGGTCTCTGTTGTGTTCCCAAGTTGAGGGCAAAAACGAAAATCCCATTATTCTGCAAGGGTTCCACAATAGCCGCCTCTAATGATCATGTATTTGGCAACAGCAGGTGTAATGTTTTTTCAATCTCCGATATGCAGTGGTGGCCTTAAGGGGCGGCCCCGATTCCCTATGTAATATTTTGTTTCTAAACAATATATAAATTGTATACTGTCACAAGGTAATGACTGTTAAGAAAAATAGCAATCCGAACGCAAATTGACCTGTTCCAGATAATAAAATATGAAATACGTATATTTTATTACACTAAATTTGTTTCAGTGACAACGAATACACAAGCACCTCCACAACAGCAACATCCGGGACTTTACCCACCGCCAGGATCCTACCCTGGAGGTAGCTATCCGCCTCCTCAACCAGCTGCAGTGTCTAACACTGGAGGCACTTATTTTCCTCCTCCGCCACCCTACGATCAAGGGAATCCTGCATATCCTCCCCCTCCTAAATATTAGGAGTTGCGAGATATGGAGATGAGCCTTGAGTAAGGGGAGAGTGATTAAACATATAAACTGTTTGTAAAAAAGTAGAATTTTACTTACGTGTATGTAAGAGTATATACCAAGCCATGTAAAGTTGTATTTCGTTCACTTTTAAAACCTGTAAATTACACGGATGTTTTATGTCATGCAATTTGTACTTCTTAAGAAAGGGGTAGGATTTATCTATGATCAAGGCAGCCACCATTGTTTTGTTTAATTGTGGTTTAATGTCCTCGCAACAGCAAGGGTCATATGAGGACGGGTGCCTAGGTAGACAACAGCCAAGGTCGATGAGGACGGGTGCCTAGGGAGATACCGCCGGAAATAGAAAGTACAGTTGTGTGATCGCACAATGTTACACGATATGAACAAGGTGTACTACAAATGTATTTACTGTGTAGCACAGTTGTTCGAGAGTGTCGTGAATGATATATATCAAGGAATGGCCTGAAAAAATGGATATTTAAGCTTATTCTTTATATATATTTAAGTATGCTATCATATATCATATTATATGTGCATGGTTATCCATTTATTTACACTTCCTGTACCCAAATTGTTTTAAAACGACTTTAATCGACACGTATGCAGGGTTTAGTCTCGAATAGCATACATTTCTAAGATACCTTATCTCACCTAGCATACATGTCAATTTTGACAACTAAAATAAATTGCATTGGTTGTAGTCCGTTTCAAAGTGGTGTAGCTGACAGTGATACATATTATCGAGAGTTGTCAATTTATGACAATTATATATTCAATTATCATGGTAAAGAAATAAAATAACCTGGTACATGTAATATATTGCAGAAGTATATAAAGGGTAAAAGGAATGCATCTAACAATCTATCAGAAGTCAACATAATTATGATTTTACAATTCTGATTTTTTTCCAGATCAGTTTAAGACACCACCTGCGTGTTATTCCGAAATCAAATTATTGAGGATCGGAAGCAAAACCCGTTAACGTCAATATCAGTTACTAGGTTTGTCAAGAAGTTAAATCTATAAATGAAATCGCAGTGTTTTTTATTGTGATAATTGCGACTGCAGAATGTTGATTCCAAAATGATTTCTAATGTTTTTTAAGTGTTAATTTGAAAAAAAACACCTAACAAATGCTTTATGATCACTCCTATTTCAGTATGGCTAACGCACAAATACAGATTGATTTTTCTGAGAAAATAGCAGAGAGGGACATATCCTTCTAAATGCTGGTAACAAATTCTCCGTTAAAATAGAAAAAAACATGTATACTAGACATCTGTTCAACAACAATGTCCAGTTGTGTATAAAGGTTTCACAAAGGTATAAATGTTACACAAAGGTATAAAGGTTACATTTTTTGTTTGTTTGATTTTGTTTAACGTCCTATTAACAGCTAAGGTCATTTAAGCACGGCCTCCCCTGTGTGCAAGATGCATGCGTGTAGTGTATGTGTGTGTATTTCGGGAGGCTGCGATATGTTCGTGTTTGTCTCCTTGTGATAGCGTGGAACTGATGCCGACTTTAAAGTGCTACCTCACTGAAACATACTGCCGAAGACACCCAGCAGGACGCCCCACCCGGTCACATTATACTGACAACGGGCGAACCAGTCGTCCCACTCCTAATTTGCTGAGCGTTAAGCAGGAGTATAAACTACCATTTTTAAAGACTTTGGTATGTCTCGGCCAGGGGACAGAACCCAAAGCCTTCCTCACAGGGGCGAACGCTCAACAAATGGCCAAAAGTGAGGCATTGTCAAGGGAGACATTAGGAAGAAGATTTTATTTTTTAGAAAGGAGAGAAGAGATAAGGTCCCGAATTTAGTCACCTCTTACGATCATGCAATTGGGGGCAGCAGGTACAATTCTTACGCCCTACCTGCAGGGTCCTAAAGGTTACACAAAGGTATAAAGATTACAAAAAAGGTATAAAGATTACACAAAGGTATAAAGGTTACACAAAGGTACAAAGGTTACACAAAGGTATAAAGATTACACAAATGTATAAAGGTATAAAGATTACATAAAGGTATAAAGGTTATACAAATGTATAAAGGTTACACAAAGGTATAAAGATTACACAAAGGTATAAAGGTTACACAAAGGTATAAAGGTTACACAAAGGTATAAAGGTTACTTTTAATGGCAAATAGTTTGAGATATTTCATAGCTGATCATTTTCGTCCTCCTGTTAAGCACATGTTTCGAGATTCTTTTACATTGGACAAAAAGTTCAAACGTAAATGAACAAAGACAACTATTTTCTTTGTATGTACAAAATTGTTGAAAATTACAGCTCAAAGCTAAAATAATGTGAGTTGAATTTAGTATCAGCAGTACTTGCGAGTCCTGTGACTATTTACCTGTACAACTGACTTTTGCTGAAACTTAAAGTAAAATCGTCAGTCTGCTATCTCAACTGTGTGATATTCTGTTTTGACCTAAATTCCCTTAAAATGATGGTAAACCCCAGAGATAGGCCTCCAGGATCTTGGCATGTATGATAGAGTCTGAAATGGAAAATGAACGCTAATATTTTGATAAGGTGTATAATATAAAGAGAAAAATGAATATTAATATTATAGATAAACAGAGTTTTACAGCAACACGCCCTGTTGTTGATTCTCTATGTATACGTTCATATACATATATTGTACGACACCTTATGGTACAGGCTATAGGTTACATGTAATGACATCCTATTGTTCGCTAACTGACACCAAATCTCACCTAGCATACACCAAACACCTTACCTGTATATAGAATAATATCAAATGTATGATTCATGTACTGTAGGTAAGACGACACCGAGGCGTGCATATATATATATAGGTCATACACATGTTACACAATGCTAAATAAAAACATCAAACCAAACTTGGAGGCAAAAGACAAACGTCAAATTCAATATTGAAAGTGGCTATGCTGACTCAAATTTTATCAAAAAGACCAACAGCTTTCAGATAGCCTTAAATTGAAGAGACAGTCATGTTTTCGAAAAGAGATTTAAGACATGAACATGTTATATAATTTTCTCGAGTTGACTGAAAGTCGATACAATCAAATAACAAGTTATTTACTGTAAATGGTTCCTGACACGCTATGCATTGAGGCTGGACTTCACGTTAATAAATAACGATGGGTAATGGCAGGGACAACTTCGTCTCGGCGCCTTTCTCTGTAGCTAGGATGCCATTCATCAACTAATGTTGTAATTAGTGGTTTAAAATCAGTAAAATGAAGTTTAAAACCTTCAGGTGTTAGTAATAGTGTGCTGCTTTCGCGGCACGACCTGCCTTCTTATTACTTGGTATCCGCACATGTCCGGGAACCAAGCAAAAGGTAATATGACACTTTGAGGTAGAGAGCAATATTAAGATCCCAACTATTGCAATTGGTGCAGCAGAATTATTTGGTCGCAGAGATTTGCTTTTGTGCTCTCTACTTGAGAACACGAAAGCAAATACCCAATTCTGCAAGGGTTCCAACATCCGTCGCCTCTTACGATACAAGCAGGTGTATTCTTTTCTCGTTCCCCGACCTGCAGGGTTGTTCTGACGACCCAATGCGTTTACTGAAATGAGCCCTGACAATAAATTGTTGTGCTGTTGATATTGAAGTTTGAGAATTATAATTGTTGGCACCTATCGGGAAGTTTTTTTAAAAAGTTTTAACATTTGACCCGGCACCTCACCATCCGATCCCTTTATTTGCCAAATCCCAGAGCCGAGTATGCGTTGTTTATACATTTCTTGCATGCATGTTCTTTACTTTCATGGTCACACTGAAACAGGTTTGTGATATTTCTTTCACTGTACATAAAAGTTTTCGAGCAAGTCACCGAGATAACTATTAAGTACGTACCAGAGATAGACCTTTATAGTAGAATTTACACTACTCGTACAATGCCGATATCAACATTTTGCTAATTTTATCCTTTTGTTGCCTGTGATGCGTATAACGTCTTTTGATATTATTTTTGACGTTTTATGTTCAATACCCTCATTTGTCGAGGCGCTGTCAAGACTAAGCAATATAAAAGGCAGTGGTATATATGTTATCGATTTTTGATATGTTTAAGAGGAAACCTACAGCAAATAATCAATGCCTACAAGACCGGGTCTGGTTAATCCAAACGTTATCCTCGAAATTCCAGGGATCACGCGACATGAAATAAGCTAAAATTGATCTGCTGCACCCATTCAGGTCAGGATTGAGAAAACAATATCCCTCTTGTTACCCACGTCATGATTTTAAAGGTAACTAATGCGGGAATCCCCTATAGATTTTTTGCGTTTGTGTTCCTAGCAAGGTTTTTGATCCCTAGCGACTCGCTTGGCTTTCTCTGCTTAACGTACATAATAAAGTGTTATTAATACCAAACGTCAATATAATGTGACCCGGTGGAGCTGCTATGTACATTTGACATAATATTTTAGAGTAGTTAATTGCTTCCGCAAAGCCAGACACTTTATATCTCACTGAAATACTATGCCGAACGCACTCAGCATGAATAGTTTTGAAAGAAGAGTGATTTTTTTTAAATTAAGACCAATGTTATAGTTAATTTTCCGCAAACTTCCTTCCCACCTTACCAACACTTGCTTATTTGACTGCAGTTTATTGAATCGGAAAACCATTTGCAGATGCAACTCGGTGTTGAATCACATACAATGGAACCAGAATCGACCTTAAATGTGACGAGTGATCGATAGATCAGTAGGAAGTCTTGGTCAGCTCCCAAATCAGTACAAGGTCCTATTGTCAGAGTGTTTAGTGCTATTAAATACTTAAGGCAATCCAAGGAGGTTAATTGTCAAAGTGTAAACTAAGAATTATGTTGTTCCTTTACTGGGATTGTTTTGGTGTTGAATGATCGTGAGTTTCGAAGTTTATAAAATGGCATACGATGTTGAATTTTGAATAATTAACCCATTTGTAATAGACTGTGTAGGTGTGAAAAAGCGGCATAAGAACTATTATGTTAAGTACATTTCAATATCAAACTAACCCAATATTGCGCCAGCCCAATATTGAATAAGTAACCAACTTCACGCTGGTTATAAACACCCGGATATGATCGAACAATAGAAGTTAAATGTTGCATTACTTCGCAATAATGTTGATATGAGGATTACCTGTTGTGTGCGTATGTTATTAAAATTGCCAGATTTTATATTTTGACCACAGTTGATGAAAAATATTACCGCATGCTAATAAAACATTTCGATCGGATATCTGTTATTTTGTTACCGTTAAAAGAGATGCACCCTCACGAAGCAGACAGGAAAAAGTATATTCAGAAGCACCGGGATCCGCGACTTCTCTCCAAGGTATATCAAGGTATACACAGACGGGCAGACAAAGGTGTATACCTGAAGTCCAAAGCACGAGGAATGATAACATACTCTAATAATAAGACATTGAACATTCCAAAAATGTCATGTTTATCAATAATTAACGATATATGATACAAAGCCGACGCATTTTTACTGCACCAAACGAGCAATAATATCTTAATGATTATCATTATTCGGTTTAATACTAGGAAGCGTTGAAACACTTACCCATAATTACACCAACAATCGAGAGATCACGTCTTGCTTCCTATGAATAATGAATTTCTAAACAAGCACTGTCAAAGCAAGGATATCTTCTATATATCAAACCACATATCTGCATTCCCAACTTTACTCGTCTTTCCTGCAAACAGAGGTAAATTTTTGTCTCGCGTAATTAGGTCTCTTTGCATGTGGAATCCTGGTACGATCACACGTCACAAGTTACTAAGATAATAATTGCCATAAACATAAGTACCGACCAGCTTTTC